CTCTATAAGCCTACCTGCTGATTTGCAAACAGATGCATTGTCAGTGATTATTTGAACCACATTTTGAGGCTTGACCTCTTCAATCACTTGACGCATCAAGTCAGCCATATAATGTTTGTCTTTATATTCTTTGGATCCGTCAACTGCCCTAAAAAACATGGGATCCCTATCAGACACAGCCATAAAATTAATCAGAGGCCTCCTTTAAGCATCTATCTAACCATCTGTGACTATGCTCACTCCTTTCAATCTCCAAGTTCCTTTAATTAGTTCAAGTAACTTCTCTGTGTGAGCTCTTTCTCTTTGCAACAATGGACCCCTTAATGCATTATAACTAGGAGGTTTGTATCCAGGAATGATGTTGTTGGCAGCATATTGATATGAACTAATGAAATATGGATTGCGTGCCAAATGAAAAGATAGACCACCTGTATAAAACATTCTTGCAATTTCAGCATATAGATTTTCTCTTGCCCCTTGTTGGAAGGCCTTTTCTAATGGGCTTATTGCCCTTCTCTTGCTTTGGTTACATTCACTTGTCATAGGATGTAAGGGAGATGAACCTTGAGCCAGGAGTGGTAATGGCACTTGCTTTGACTTGGTCTTATCATCAGCATCTTCTTGTAATTTTCTCATCTCAGCTAGGCAATACTCATCAACTTTTGAGCATATAGCAATTTCCTTGCCAGAAGTTTTTAACAAGTGCCACTTAACTTTAGAGTAAGAGCCATTGAATTCTTTATTACAATAATTGCACCTCCAATATCTATTTCCACCCCCGGTATGTTTCTATTTTTATTCACTAAAGTGACACAGCACCATAAGGGAGTTCCATCTTTTTGTAGCTCATTGATAGAAGAAAAACGGGCTGCTGAATTAATACTTCCCCCAGAACTACTTGCTGTAGCCATATCTAATTAAAAAAATTGAGATAAACTAAAATTAAATATGACTAAAAGCATTGAAATACAGATTAAGATTTGAGCAAAATAACATGTAATATAAAAATAGAAAGCAAGTGGGCATCGAATATAAATTCTGTGCATGAACAATTGAACATTGCAATCTAACATATTAAATTAATAAATAACAATTAAATTTAAAGAAGAGGAACAGAAGCACAGAACAGAGCATGACCTTTAGTCAAAAGAAAAAAAATAGGACATGTGAGCTGAAACAAATATAAATGCGAGGCACCTGGTGAGCAATCTAAGATGAAATAGAGAGTGAGCAACAATAAAATAACAAAATCACTTATTTTCCAGTTTTAGCGTGACACTGTGAGAGTTGAGAGACATAAGAGAGAGAGAGAGAGAGAGAAGTGCAGACCAGTGAACGGATGAAAGAACTTGAACTCGACGTCGATGAGTTGAGCAACTGAGAATGCGTAGGAGCACGAAAGAACCAGGCGCACGACAGCTTGTTCCAAGGTTCGCGAATGAGCACGACGGCACGATTTGTGACTCAGTGTAAGAGAGCGACGGCTGACTGATTTTGCAGGTTGGGAGAGAAGGTCAGAATCAGAAGTGAGTGTGAGGTTCAATCTACTTATGCTTTACAAATTAGGGCTTTAGGCAATTTTTTTTATGCAAAACACAACGTCCTGTGTCAAAGCCGTGTCAGCTGTGTCGAAGCCGTGTTGCGCCGTATTGCGTCGTGTCGTCCAAACAAAAAACGTATCGGACACGGATGTACTCACGCGGAGCGAGTGTTTGTGTCTGGTGCGTATCCGACACGGATACATCTCCAAAATTGACGTATCCGTGCTTCCTAGGTTATATCCAAACAATCTTAGCTTCTCGTTTTGTGGGTCTCAGGATTTGATGACCTAGAATGGGTTAGCTCAGTTGTGTTTCAATTTTCAACAGACACACCAGCGGCAACAGGATTTGTGACAGTTGTGGAATGAAAGGTAGAGGAATCAGAATGTGCTTGTCGACCCAAACCTTCTCTTCTCTGGTGATGCCAAAACAAGCAACCTTAACCCATCTTCACTGTCCATTTCAAAAGGCTCTTCAATTTGAGAAGCAGAGCTAGGATATGGATTGCTTCATCAGATTACAGGTTAGGACCTAATATTATTACATGCGTTTATTTTTGTTTGTTTGTTTGTTTTTCTCTCTCTGTTTTTTTTTGGTCAAGCGTTTTGGATTGTGCAGGGATTTGAATGTTACTCTTATGAATGGTGTAGAATGAGAAATTGAGAATCATGCTGTAAGATCAGAGGAAGCAGCAAGTGGCAACGTTACTGAAGAAAGTGGAATTTGATGCGATTTACATGCTAAGGCACAGGAAGACGAAAATGGTGCCAATAGGGAGGAGCCTGATGAGACGACGCACAAGAAGAAAGTGGAGCTTGTGCCAGATAAATGAGGAGAGAGAAAGCATAAAAATATGAAAGGAAAATTCTTCCAATGGCCAAATGTTAACGCCGAGGGTAGAAAGCCACGTCTATTGGCTTCTAAAAAAGGCTCATTTAAGCATAACTTAGGTTGGAAATTTTTGTTAATCCAAACAATATTTTTTGAGCTTTTTAGTTTTTAACTTCAATTTACTCATTCTAACCTCAAATAGAAATTAATTCAAACATGTTCGTAATTTTAGTTGTGATAAACAAAGAATATAAATTATCTAATATTTTTCTTTACATTATAATTTTTTTGGGAAAAAGATAATAAAATTCCTTCAAATTATGTAAAAGATAATTTAATCTTTCGAAATGCCATAATAACAATAAGATCATTAGGGACTTCTTTGTCAATAATTTTTTTTTAAAAATCATTTTACCCTTACTGAAAATAACAAGACCTAATCACAATTTTTATTCTATAAATCACAAGATTTAAACAAAAAATTATAATTTATTAAGTGTAATTTCGATTATTAAAAATGAGCTCCAATCACACATTTTATTTAAGAAATAAAAATTTTTATTCTGTGAATCGCAAGAGTTGAACAAAAAAAATCACAATTTACTAAGCATAATTTCTATTATTAAAAAATAAGTTTTCAAAGTAACAAATTTTATTCATAACTTTTATTTAAAGAATCACAATTTTTCTTTAAAGAATAGCAAGAATTGTCAGTAAGGGTAAAATAATTTTTTTTAAAAAAAGTTATTGACAAAGAGGTCCTTCGGGACTTCATTAGTATTATGACATTTTAAGAGATTAAATTATTATTTATGTAATTCAGAAGAATTTGATTGTCATTTCTCCTTTTTTCTAACATTTTCTTAAATAAATATTGGTCTGTTACTTATTATTCTTTAGAAAAGTTAATCAGTTGGTCCTTGTAGTTTTGACTCACTTCTAACTTAATCTCTGAATTTTGAATCATTATAAATTAGTCTTTATAGTTTTAAATTGGTTGAAACTCAATCTCTAAATTTTACCACTTGCAATTTAGTCTCTATAATTTCAACCACTTAAATATTGATCCCTATATTTTAAAAAATAAAATTATAAAGATTAAAAATATTTTGAACCTTTAATATTTATAATATTTGTAAATATTAAAAGGGTTTAATAATTTAAAATAATAGTAATAAATTTTAGCATAATTTTAATATTTATAATTTTATTACTAATATTATACATATTAAAAGTTCAAAATATTATAATTATAATTATTTAATTTTTAAATATTATAAATATTAAAGGTTCAAAATATTTTTAATCTTTATAATTTTATTTTTTAAAATATAAGGACTAATATTTAAGTGGTTGAAACTATAGGGATTGAATCGTAAGAAGTAAAATGTATAGACTTAATTATAATCAAGTTAAAACTATAAAGATTGAGTTACAATAAATTAAAATTCAGAGATTGAGTTATAATTAAATCAAAACTATAGAGATCAGATGATTATTTTTTTAATTCTTTTTATGCTTCTAATTTGTATGAGGAGGAACAACTTGAAATGAAGTATATAGAATACTTGGAGAAAATGAAAAACAATTCTTGCAGAGATCTTATTATCAGAGCTTAAATCTTAGTTATGAGCATAACTCTCTATACACCAAATTAGTATGTTTTAATAAGCCCAAAATTCCTGTGGAGATCTTACTGCTGAAATGTTTCCATAATGTTGCAGTAGACTATGTATTTTCTGACACAATTCTATGAGCATAGGTTTTTCAGACAAGTTATGTAACCTTAACAGGAATTTGGGGATCCAAAAGAGCTGTAATTAAAAAGAGATAAAGTGTAGATTGAAATTAGCATGATGTATATCTATGCTATACATAATGCATATAATCATTTTGTTGTTGATTGATGAAAACATGCAATAACACAATAAAATGATGAGAACTTCAGGGATTGAAGAGGGAATTGGGGAAATGGTACAAGACATAAAGTCTTTTTAACATAGTTTTATATTTGTTTTGTCATTTATTATTTGAAAATTATAATAAAATAGTATTAGAATAATGTGTTGATAAAAGAATTTTTGTGATCCAACTTGTATAAGCAATACTCTAATTGATCAAATACTTTTTTTTGGCTGAAAAACTGATTGAATACTTTATTAATTTATTATAGTAAATTGATTTTATATCTATATTGTAAATTCAATTAATTTTTCTCTTAATATACAAGATATTAACATTTTCAAACTCAACATGTGATGAAATCTTTCCTGCATCACATCATGAGGGGAGAAATCTAGTATCGCTTCAAATTAAGATATTTTTTTGTCACCGTACGCATTAAGATATTTTAAGAGTATAAAACAAAATGGGCTAATTGACTGCAACGTGTTTAAATAGAATGGGTCTGGTTGAGGGAGACTGTTTTGTCAGCAAGGGCCTTTTTTTCAAGCATGGCCCATTCATTTCAATGGGCTATATGAGCCCGCTTGACTGACCCCGACTAGCTATCTTTGTTTTGACGCGAGTAAGGTTTGGGTCCTTTTTGTTTGTTTGTTTTTGTTTTTGTTTTTTTGTTTTTAACAAATTCGGCCGAAAGGCATTTAGGTCCTCATACATCGGGGATCTTACAGAGAATTAGAAGGGCAAGGCATTGTTTGTAGTACAGTGGGCAAGGAGCTATGCATAACAGAAAAGAGCTTTGTAGAAATTTTCAGCGAGGCAGGTGATTCTTTTTCATATGGTAACCGATTTCGTTTCTATCTGTTTCAATATTTCAATTGCGAAAAGTTGGCTGGGATCTCTCTCTCTCATTTGAAGCAAATCAAACACAAAAGCGAAGAACGCAGTTCGGGCTGATTAATTAGCGGTAATTTTGTTGATTGCAAGTCTGTTCATCAGTTCATGTACAGCCAATTCGGGCTCAATTTTTTTTTTGAGCAATGCCAAGAGAGCACAATGTCTTTTAGTTTTTCTTAGTATCTTTCTATTATAGACCTTGAATTTCCTTTATGGTGGGTGATGATCCTATGTATCACCCACCTACTGTGAAGCACACGAACAGAAAAAATGGTGTCCTATCCGGCACACGTAGTACATGCATCGTCTGAATCCGACAAAACACTTGCCCCGTACGTTTTTTTAAAAGAAAATTGTGTTGAAGCCTGACTCCAAACCTAACATTTCTTCTGAAAAAGATTTGAAATTCTCACCTTCGTGGTCATTCGGTTATCTTCACACAACTTTCATTTTTCCGCTTATTTTAATTTAATCATAAACTTGTTGATAATTTTTTCTTTTGTTGCAGGAAATGCTTGTCATGTTAAGCTTTTCTTCTTTGGCCTGTAAAAAGATTTGGAATTTCGATTTATGGGATTCTTATAGCTTTTCTTTCTTATATTATTTGATTTGTAGTCCAAATAGATTTATCTTCATTTGCCTCAGTTATTCTGGAAAGACAGGGTTCCTCATAAGGTGAAGGCTTTTGCTTAGACAGTGGTGCTTAGTAGAATTATTACCATCAATCTTCCTCGGACTTAATCACTTGATTAGGCTTAATCACTTGACTAGGCTTAATCACTTGACGTTTGTGTGATGTGTTTTGGGGATTCAGAGATGAAAAATCATATATTCTTTTCATTGAGAAGTGGCTTGGCTTCGCTTGACTGATTTGAAATGGTTTGTTTGAATTCTTGATATGAGAGCTAGGTTTGTCCAGCTAATCTTTTGGCTTCTCTAGTTATAAACTTTATGAGGTTCATGAGGCAAAAGGCATGGAAGTTCTCTGGCATGTGCTGTATCTGCTGATTTCTGGTGTCTTTGGTGGAACAGAATGCGAGATTTCCTTTTTAGAGAGGGGTTGGAAGGTTTCCTTATGAATCTTCAAAGGGATTGGAAGTCCTTTTTGATATAAAAAGCAAGTTGCTTTGTATTGTGTTTTACTTTTGTTTAGAAAGGTTCTGTTGCCCATTATTTTGGTACCTTTTGTATTATTCTCTCTTTTGTTCAGTAAATTTTTTTAAATAAAAAAAAAAGAAAAATTTGTCATAGAGACAGTGGTGGTTACTACCAAATTCATAGGTTTCTTTGGCCTGAGGCACAACTGAAAAGACTTGTGATTTCTTTTATGAAGTTGTTGAGGCTGAGTTCAGCTATCGTGATTATGTTGTTTGGTTTATTATTGTCAAGCAATAGTACAAGCTTTAGAGTTGTGAGAAGTGTAGATTCTAATGGTTTCATATCGAAGACTTAAGCATTAAAGATATTTTTTGGCCAATCCATGTTACGAAGACTGTCTACTATTCATGGGAAGTAGGTCAAAAACTTCTTGAGTTGTGTCACTTTGTCAGTGATGTGGATCAAAGAGAATGTCTGGGAAAAGTTGAGGGGGCCACAAATGGGAAGAAGGTTAAAGCTTTCTTGGAGCTATTTGTCAACTGATGACAATTGGTTTCTTTTCTCCCTGCTTTGATTTTCCTGAATTTATTAATTTGTTTACTGAACATATTCATTTCCATATTTTGTGCATTCATATAGGCCCTCACTTTGTTCGCTTGGAGATCTTGCTATCATTGATGCAGTCAAGTTGCTATGATTTTTGAAGTATTTTATATCTCTCATAGTCACAGGATTTTGGTAACTTTAATAATTTTTTTTGTTCTTTTGATTCATCTTTCAGCTGCCAATATGGAGAAAGGTGTAGATTTCTTCACATGCTATCACAACAGCAAAAACAAACTGCCAATCCTTATGGATTTGGGTCTCATTCCAGTTCACACCAAAAACAAACTGCCAATCCTTTTGGATTTGGGTCCCTCTCCAGTTCACAGCAGCAGCATAGGACCAATCCTTTTGGATTTGGTGTCCAGAACAGCTCCCAGCCAACAGGGGGTGTTAATTCAGAGTTCAGACACCAGTTCAAGGTTCTTCCTCTTCCTATGTATGTAGTTAGTGTTGAAGGATTTTTTTTTTTTTCAAAAGAAAATCCCACATGTTGGATTAAAATTTTCTTTCTAAGTCTTCAATATGCTATCAATTTATTGACTCTAGAATTGCAGAAGATACGATGTTATCTTTCATCAACGGAAACATATTCTTATCATTTTTTGTTAGTATTGATGATGATTTACTTGTTGATCAGTCTTTTGAAAACAAATGGACTCGGCCTTCTTCCTCGCCCCAGAATAGTTCTTCGCGAAAAACTGATGCCAATTCTCAAACAGCGAACCATAAGTAAGTATTGATCAATCCAAACTTTATTTCAACTGCAGCTAACTTATTATAGCACGTCAACAAGTCAACCCAGGGAGCAGGAACATTCATGTTACCTGGTGGTCTGTTGCCCTTGTGCTGGAATGAAAGCATAGCTTGGGCCTAAAAGTCTACAATGTGCATAAAGATGTCCTTGTCATCCCTTTATGTGAACTGAACTCTGATCTTCAATATTAAAGATGGAGGATTTTTGGTGATTTGAAATGTTATGTATTTTAATTTTTAAGTTGTACCTTGCACTAACATTATCTTTTCTCTTGGCCAATTCCCCCCCTTCAAAATAACTCTCTAATCTTAAATTTGAAGTTCAAGCTATGAAACATTAACTTCATTATCATCTTTAAATATGTTTAGAAGATCTTGTTAATCATAAATAATTATTTTGAAATTATGTGTTCCTTTGTATTCATATCTTCATTATCTCTTATCTGCACACTCAATGCTCATATTTTTACTTATTAGAAAGACCATACATCTTGTTGTAGCATAAGATATACTTCAACTGGAAAGCATGTGAAAATGTTTAAAACAGAGAAAATTAACAAAGTCCATATCAAACTTGAGGCTTGTTTGGAATTGCTACAGATTTCTGCTGATGTTGAAACAGCTTTTCTAATGGATTTTTATCAAAAGCCAAAAAGAAACCATTTATTACTCTTTTATCAATATTATTGTGTTTGGCAAATATGTCAAAAGAAGGGTTTTCTATGGTCCAATAACTTAAAAAGGACCAGCAATCTAGGGTTAGGTGAGAAAGTTATAGGAAAGCATGGTTTTTTTAAAGAAGGTATTTTCTGAAAAAAATTTGATGTAATTATGAACTATGGTAATTAGTAATATTGACTGGGGATCTTTTGCTTACAAGGAGAGAAGTTCCAATTTTCTACTTCTTTCTATTAGTTGAAATGCTCTTTTGCTACCGCTCTAAAGTAGCATATTGTCTTCCAATAGCTTTGCCAAACACGTGATTGTCTCAAATTTAGTGCTTTTTTTGAAAACCATGCAGCTTCTTCTCTCCTAGGAGTTAAGGCCATCTGTTGTGTAAAAGCATGCTTTCCAGTCTCTTTGTATATTGGAAATAGTGGTTCCTTTACAAAACTCTTTATAGAGTGCCAAAGAGAAGCCATACACACAATTTTATCACACAGCAGATAAAATTTTTTTTTATATGCTTTGCATTAGGTTTGCTTTTATCTGTTACATTTTATGCACTAAATCTTACATGATGTCATTGAAGGTGCACAGATCCTGAAACTTGCAAACGTCAAATTGTAGAAGATTTTGAGCAAGAGAAACCACTTTGGAAGCTGACATGCTATGGTCATTGTAAAGGGTATATGCTTACTTTTATACATTGTGGTATGAAAAGCTTTGGTGTTTCCCATTACTCTAAACATATTGAGCTAGAAGCCTTAATGAACTTGCATTGAGTGGGTGACAAGTGTCAGTGTTTTGTCAATCTTGGAACAAATAGAGGCTTATCATGTTTTGCACAAATTTTGATTTGAGTGTTTCTTAAGCTGATGGATGTGGCTTCACGCTGTTTGTCTCACTGCTTTCTGCATGCCATTTTCTCAGTATGAAATCATCTTAGCTTATAATAACCTGCTGTTACAACTGAAAAGAGGGAAATAACTTCTTGGGTTGCTGTACGCATACTCTTGTTAAATTAAACCCTTGTAGACATAGAAGCTTTTGTTGCACAGGACATTCCCATAGCAGTAGCAAAGCATCATATCCATTGTATATAGCATAAGATTAGTATGAAATGCCTCCTCTTCCACACAATAAGGAATTTAAAAGGGGGGACCATCTATATCACTACTCTAATAGAAAATGTTTAGTTGCATAAAACATGGAAGTTAAAATAATCAAGGGTTGTGGATAAACAAGCTGAACGTCTAGGAATTAGGAATTGATGAAAATCTTTTGTTGGTTCCTATTATGCTAAAACAAAAGGTATCCATTGTAGGTAGAACTAGTGTTGTTGAAGGCAAAAGGTGCACTCAAGGCGTAAAGCCTATAAAATGCCTTAGGTGCAAGGGGCGTGCTTGAGTGAAGTAAGGCGCATGCTAGAGTGAAGTAAAGTGCTACCATGTGAAAATGCGTAATATATAAACAATAAACCATAGATAAAATGATAGATATAAAATTAATTAACCTTCATATAGATACTCTGAAAAATTGTCATATTTAGAAATTTTAGATAAAAGTAGCAATAACCTAAATCATAAACTACTACAAAACAATATAAACTGTGCAATGATCAATTAAGTTTAGAAAGTGTCCTGAAAACATGGAAAAAAATATAGAAGTTTGTCAAAAATCAAACTAGATATTTAAATCAGATTTAGATGCAACAAGCACAAGACTTTCTTCTCCTTCATTGTTGGATTCATATCCTTCAATGTCTTCCTTTAACTCACCTAAATCAAAATTAGCAAGTTCTTTAATGTCGACAATTCATGTTGAGTTTTTTACTAGTTGTTTTCCTTTGAATTTAGATGAGCTAGCTCTTTGTCCTTTAGTTTGGCTTTGGCTTCTTATTTGTTTAATTGGTTCTCTAATACTTGTTGCTGGTGCAACAATTTTCCATGTTAACTTGTCATTGTCATCATTGCCAAATACATGCTCATCCATTGCATCCTCATTAACATCTATCATACCAAGTAGCATTTCATTGTTACAATTCATCGATGTCCACCAAGGAAATAGGGTCTACATCTTGTCTATGATACCTATTTTACAGAGCTTGATTGTACTCATGAAAACCAAATCATTAAGCCTAGCTTGAGCAAGTTTGTTTTGCTTTTTTGTATGAATCTAATTAGAAAAATCATATATAATAATTAATTATCTTAATATGAAATGGATATAGGATAAAATATGGCATTAACCTTTTAAAATACATTGAAATATGTGCATTTAACTTGTTCAAACACATTTCAATTATGTTTACAGCTTGATGCATTACAAGCGAGGCTTATTATTTTGATTGTTAAATGTTGTAAGTTAGGGCAAGAGCTTTCGATAAGAAGCCCCTTTAGTTGCAAAGTCATGAAAATAATAAATAACTATTTAACTAAATTAGTAAAACTATTAAATGACTAGTGCATGGTTATAATCCACCTGGAGGTCTTATTTTTCCTTGTTCTAGTGGCTAGGTTAACATTAAAAGGTCCTTCTGTTTTTTTTTTTTTATATATAGTCAACTCATCCATGGTCCTTTATTGTATAACTAGATCTCTCACAAGTTTTTCCATGCAAGATATGAGACCCCTAGTGATTTCTTTATCAAACTTTATATTTGGATTGTCATAATAATATTCTAGATTCAAGAAATGTGTTATAGCATGTAGAGGTTGATGAAATTGGCTATTCCACCTTTCATCAACTATTTGAAAAATTTCTTGGTATTTATCTTCATTATTATCAAATGATTTTTGATTTGTCTTTTTAGCTCTGTTCATTGCTTCATATATACAACCTATGGTTGTTTTTTCCCCCTCATAGTCCACAAGTCTTAGTATTTGAACAAGAGGTTCTATAACCTTTAACATACAAGGCACTGAATTTCAAAAAGAATGTATAAACACAGTTTCAATCCCACATTTTCCTTTAGGTGTTTTTGATCACTTAGTTGAAACTCACTTCGTTGAAGTGAACATAGTCCTCAATATAGTTTTTTTGTTGATGAATATTTTTTAAATGTATGAAGTAGAGTTGTGTAAACGGGTTGCGGGCCAGCCTGCATAGGTTAGCGTTTTCGTGGGTTGGGTTGGGCCAGCCTGCCAAGATAAACGGGCTGGGAAAACCCAACCCAACCCACACATTGGCGGTCTAGCGAGCTTGCGGGCCAGCCCGCAAAATGCATTTTTATTTTTTAAAATGAGTTAAAATGTATAATCAACATATATATATATATAGACAATGATTTTTCTTATATTATTTTTTATAATGAAATTTATTTATAAACCCATATTATTTTTTTCAATGAATTTATATTTGTGATTTTAATTAATAAATCTTATGGGATTAACAAATAAGATATATTCAAAATATTTCTATAAATAATTGATTTGCAAACTATAAAAAAATTTCATTTGCAAATTGTAAGAAAGATTTACATTATCTTTCAAATGTAAAGAATATATTTGGGACTTAAATTATAGATTTGAGAAATATTGTCATTATTGTAGATTTATAAAAAAATATATTGTGATTGAAAAATAAATTATTTTTTTAAAAATAAATTATAGGCTCGCCCGTGTGCTAGCCCGTTTTAACTCGCTATTTTTTGTGGGTTGGGTTAGCCTAGCCGGTTTTAAAAAATGAGTCAATTCTTTCAACTCAACCCATCAAAATTGGTAGGTTGAACAGGCTAGCCCGCAGGCTCAACCCATTTTCTCGACTCTAGCATGAAGTGCAAAATTTAGTTTTTTCAGGCCTCACCAACTTCTTTTGCTTGATGAACTCTCATCATATTCACCAACTCTTTTTGCTTGGTGAACTCTCATCATATTTAAAAGTCCCACATGATTATATGTATAACTTATCAAATTGATTGCTCTTTCCAAAATCCTTAACACTCTAGGAATTTTTCCATTGTCTTCTAATATAAGATGTAGACAGTGTGTTGCACATGGTGTACCAAAAAAAAAAAATTAACCTTCTCATTTCTAATAACTTACCAGCAACTTTAATGTTAGACCTATTGTTAGTCACTATTTGAACAATATTTTCTTTCCCAACACAGTGTGCTAAGGTGAGTGTCTTTAACAACATTGGGTAGAACAAAACCTTTTTCTAGACATGTTTGATAGATGTGGTGATAAATTATGTTTTTTAGACTAAACTTCAAGAAACAATAATAATTTGATTTTCTCGAGTCAATGTTGTTAAAGGTGCTCACCTTAGTGCCTAAGGTGCAAAGGCAAGGCATTGAACAGGGTCATTGCCTCTCATGTGAAGAGAGGTGATGGGATTAGTCAGGTGCCCACTTGAGAGTGCCTTATATGAGCAATACGCACTTGCTTGAGGTTGGGGAAAAGAATATTATTCAAATAGTAATTGACAATATGTTTAACTTTAAAGCTGCTAGTAAGTTGTTAAAAATGAAAAAGGTTAAATATTTTTTTTTGTGCACCACACTGTGCAGATCTTATATTAAAAGAACTTGAAAAAATTCCTAGGGTGTTAAAGACTTTGGCAAGAGCAATCAATTTGGCAAGCTGTATATATATGTATGTAATCATGTGGGACTTAAATATGATGAGAGAGAGCACTTGGCAAAAGGAGTTGGTGAGGCCTAGAAAAACTAGATTTTGCACTTCATATGGCAAGAGCAATCAATTTGATAGGTTATATATGTAACGATGTAGGACTTTTAAATACGATGAGAGAGTTCATCTAGCAAAAAGAGTTGTTGAGGCCTGAAAAAATTAGATGAGGACCATGTTCAGTTCAAATTGCTTACTTTAAAAAGCATTCATCAACAAAAAACTACATTGAGGACTATGTTCATTTTAAAGAAGTGAGTTTCAAGTAAGTGGTTAAAAGAACTTAAAAAACAACGTGGGGTTGAAATTGTGCTTATGCGTTCTTCTTAGAATTCAGTGCCTTATATGTTAAAGGTCATGGGATCTCTTGTTTGAGTGCTGAGACTTGTGGACAAAAAAAAAAAAAAAATAGCCATGAGTTATATATATGAAGCAATGGACAGAGCTAAGAAAATAATTCAAACTTCATTTGCTAAAATGAAGATAAGTACTAGGAGATTTTTCAAATCATTGATGAAAGGTAGGATTGCCAACTTCATCAACCTCTACATGTTGTAGCACATTTCTTGAATCTAAAATATTATTATGACAATCCAAATATAGAGTTTGATGAAAAAATCACTAAGGGTCTTGTATTTTTCATAATCTGATTTAGATATATAGTTTTATATTTGATAGGCTTCTATATTGTTTTTTCATGTTTTCAAGACACTTTCTAAACTTGATTGATCATTGGAGCGGTTTATATGTAAATTTATATTTATCTATTGTTTATATATTATGCATTTTCACATAGTAGTGCCTTGCTACACTCAAATGCACGCCTCATGCCAAAGGCGTATTACAGGCTTTGCACCTTAAGTGTGCCTTTTGCCTTTAACAACACTGTTTTGAGTATATTTCAGGAAATAACACTCCAATTCTCTTTTGCTTGAAAAGATAAAAAGTTTAGTAAATTAAAATTTGACTTCAAATTTTTGGGTGCAGTGCTCCTTGTGACATTGTTGGTGATATTAGCTATGAAGAATTGCGGGCAGCTGCATATGAGGATGCTACGCATGGGATGGCCTTACAATCAATTGTAAGTTGACAGTCATGTTAATGTAACAGCTGGCCTCTTTTACTTTCACTCTGGTAATCTGTGATTATTCACACTGAAAAATTCCATCTAAAAATCTCATTGGGTGACTTAGTCTTTTCCAAAGTCACCTTACTCATTTGGACAATTGTACCCTACATGATTAATATTAATGCAGGTTTTTAGGTCAAAAAATCTTCTCTCGCTTCATTCGTGATGTATTGGTCTAGTTTGTAGACAGTTGCATCAATATATTTAAATTTCCTTGCGGCTATCTTAATTTGGATTTGGAGTAGGCTCTAGTTTGGTGTTTATATGGCATGCTTCAATGCCTAGAGTGTGTTATTTTAAAAATCTTAAATTATGGAGGGTCACAAAAACTTCTAGAAAAATATTGGTCATTAGTTAGAGTGGTCCCAAAGTCTGACTGGACAACTCAGATGGGGAAACATGTTTCTTTGTATTTAGTGCCACTACAAAGCCAAACTGGATCATAGGAAGAGGTGAGGCCTTTTAGGGTGCTATGCCATGTAGAAACTCAGGGTTTTTACAATTTTGTTGCTGTTTTATTCCTTGAGAAGTGTTCAACCACATAAGTAGGGAAGATGGCCACAACCATGTCTCATCTAATCCCACAAAATCATCAAATATATATTCAAAAATTAGAATATCCTAGACAGTGAAATACGTTAAAGATTAGAAAACTATAAATTGGACATCCTAAACTAATTCACTCTTGCCAAAGGAGCATATCTTTCTACCAACCTGCAGTTGATTATTTTCAGCAGCTGAAGCACTTCCCCTAGATGCTCCAAGGGAGAGAAGTCTTTGCTGTAATTAAATGTCATAAATTACCATTATAAATCTTATAAATGCGCCCAAAATACCTCGTACATAAGGAACTGAAATGTTGGCGGAGCAGAAAATAGGCAAAAGGGACTATCAGGAACTCTGGACCTTGTGAATCTAAAGAGCAATTTTTCTAGTATCTTCATATATAACCCTTGTTGATATCTAAATTCTAAATCCAGTTTTTATAAATCTTCAGCTCAGTTTGAAATCACATTTATTAATTGTTTTGGAAATTTATTTAAAATTGTAATTCAAAATATCACCTAAGCATGCACCTAAAATTTTGTATTTCATAACACACAATAAATTCATTATTTGAATGCTCTTTTTGCTCTTTTCATGGTGGAAGAATTTCAGAATAGTGATCCCTTTTAAGAATATTTACCATGAAGGAGACATTCGAGAGTTGCAGTTCCGAAATTCTGCCTCTCCTTGATGTAAATTGCTGATGAATTCATTGTGCCTTTGAGTTTCTAATGAGTACTGATTCTTTCCAATTAAATGCCATTTATTCTTTCCAAACACTGAGATTATGTTGGTACAGGTTGAGAAGGAGAGAAATCTACTAAGTTCCAAGTTAATGGAGTTTCAGAACCTTCTTCGTGAACCTTACAAAATACAGCTGAATTCTTCTCTTGCAAGTGATAAGCATCAATCTCTTGGAACTGATGTAAACCCATTTTCAAGGACTTCAGAAAATAATAATACTCTGTCTGTCTCTAGCTTTAGTCAATTGGGAGCTTCTTTGAGCATGGGTAATGAAAGGTAAGTGATGCCTATTAAATTTATTGTAAATCTTTAGTATCTCATTTTGCTTATAGGTTGCAACTATGGATTTCCATTGCTACATAAATGATAAGGTAAATAGGTATTGAAAGGCAAGTGATATAAAAATCTCTCGTCAACAGTTAGTTGTCCTAGCCGCAATGCCATCCCCTCTCTTGGAAGAAGTCTTGGGTTTGAACCCAACTTTGACATGGTTGTGTGCATGGGTCGGTGCATGTGTCTCTCTTTCTCATGAGAAGGGCTAGGCTAGGGGTAAAATTTTAAAAAATATAAAAATCTCTCATCCTTGGGAGATTCCATCAATTTTAACCAAGTTTCAAAGGAAAACAGTAAAATAGCCAAGGAAAAATGATGAAGGGCTTGTTTGATTACCTGCTTTGAGAACATTTTTTAAAATAAAAAACTATTTGAAAATGTGTTTTATATTATTTGTTTTGAAAAACGATAAAGTTAAAAGTTGTTTTGAAAAATTAAAATACCAGAATATCTTTTGTGATGTTTTGTTACTTTTTGTTCTGCAAAACTAGAGAAAGGCAAAAATATCTTGTTTTCATCAAGGACAATTATGTTGATAAAAAAAAAAAAAAATTCTTTCACCCTTTATTTCACAATTTCATTTATGTTTTTCAGAATAATGATTTAAACATATTTTTTTCATTTTTCGTTTTCAAAACTTGTTCTAAAAAATTACTCTACAGAATTGTTTTAAGAACATAAAAAAAAAAATAAAATCAAACAAGCCTGAAATCTCTTATCTGTACGTTGTTTTTCTTAACACTAATTTTTTTCTAAGTTATGTGGCATTTCATGCTTAACGACTTTTGTTTTACTGCTCGCTCCTGGCATGTGATAACCTCTTTGGAACATTTTCTTAGGCCTTCTGCGCTCCCAGTGGATACTCTGGCTCAAACTAGCTCCTTTGGAACTAGAGGTATAAGTTTGGTTTAGTTTAGAATCACTGTGGCTTCATTTATCTACTGTTGTTTTCCCACATCTATACTTGATCACTAATGTCCAAAGCAACATTCAGGAAATCCGTTGGCATCCAATGTGACAAACCAAACTGGTGGAGGCATTGCAGGTGGCCAAAGTAACCTCTTTTCCACATCAGCAGAAGTTGCAAAGTTTCCCAGTATGACTACACAGCAATCGTTTATTGTAAGCAATGGCCCTAGCTCTGGCCTAATGTTTCCAGCAAGCACAGGTGTTCAGTTGTCGTAAGTCCTTGACCATACTACCTTTTGAAGTTTATATTTCTGAAGAAGTAATTACAGTTCAATTAATTCCATATCATTCCATTCAAAAATAGCTCGAGTAATTACAGTTCACTTAATTCCCTGTCATTCCATTAAAAAATAGCTCAATCTTCCCTCCTATCTCTCACCAGGGACATATTATAAAATTACAGAAAAAGAATGTATCAATCGGCATTGATTATAACTTTGCCCATCAAACGTAGTTCCCTTGCTTGTGACACTGATGGGTCTGAAGCTGCTGAGCATTAGGTGTTGAAGACATGTGAGAAGGGAAGGAGGCCAAAGCTCTGTTAACTGTTGATGAGATAGCTGGAGGGATAGAAAAGAGAGAAGATATGGGTAACTAACTGGTCATATGGGATATGAGATGGAAGGGAGAGTCTGGTTGTTAAAGGGGAATATCTTGGAGGGATGGTAAGCAGGAGGTGAATTTAAAAGTCAGAGAATCTCAAGTCTGAAAAACTGCTGGTGTATTTTTTTTGGGGCCACTTTTATCTTGTTTATCTTGTTTTCCCATGTAACTTGAACAATCCCTCTGTACGCCCCTGCCCAGCTCACAATTCAAGGGCAAATAGTGATTCGACACTGTAGATTTTCTGCTCTCCAGCCACCTCATCAGCAGATAACCCAGCTTTGGACGCCTTTCTCTACTCCCCCCCCCCCCATGGTTTTTGACACCTTAGACCCGTAGCTCCTTTGGGGCATCACATGCCCAATTTAGTTATGCATTTCTAATTTCGGCAACTTTCAAAAGTTGTCTCACTTTATGTTCACTGACCAAGGAGAATTCAGTAGATATTCTGAAAGGGCAAAGCAAAAGGGCTTCCAAAGTCTTTAATTAGCAGAGTGTACCCTAGCTAACTAGCTGCCTCTCTGTAATCTAGTAGGAGGTACCATTAGCTAGACCTTTGCATCCTGTGAATGAATTCCCTTGACTTCTTTTTCTTAGCCAAATAAATTATTTCAATTCTAATTATTTACCATAAAGTAAATGCCATGCAGGAAAAGACCACATAACAAGAGCACTTGAGCCGAGAGAGAAAATTTATCATGATTCTGAAATCTATCATGTCTTGAATTCATCTCATCACCCCATCTACTGCGCCTAGATGACAGTCTGGGATAGTGAATAAACCTTGAGAAAACATACGGAATTACATGCCAAACTTCTGTATAAATGTGACTCCCAAAACTTCTCTTTATATATTTGAATTTGTTTGGAACCTTAACCTTGGGTATTAAAGCAACCTTCTGTGTTGGTCTTTGTGGAGTTTGACATTGTTTTAGCTTCATATGCGAGTCATAAATATTTTGCTTTTATTTAATGGCTGTTCTGTTCCTGCAGAAGCAAGTCCAAAGATGAGAATGTCTCTGGAGATGTCAGCATTTGGTTAAAAGAGAAATGGATTCCTGGAGAGGTAATTTTTTACAGTGTGGTTTTCTTTTCTTCTTTTTTAACCCTCTTTTTGTGTTACAAAAAAGACACTAGGCTTATAAGAGTAGGAGGCGGGGAAAGAGTGATGGAATTTTTGGCGTCATGGCCATGTCAATTTTATGGTGCCATATGAGCTATAAAGCTCATTGGTGTCCTGGACACACATTTTTAAGTTGAGAAACTGCCAATTGGAACATTTATGAGCACATTTGTGATCTTCATTTAGTATATTACTAGATTAGAATTCCTTTGCATTTCTTGAAGTTGAATAAAGGCATAAAAGTGATTGAGAGGCTGGTATATGTGTACTTAATCTTTGATGTTATCTGCAATTAACGATCACTAATTTTTAGTATGGAATTCCAATGCTCTGACTTCTTTTTTTTTTTTTTTGGGAAATTGAAGTAATGAGTTTCACTCTGATACATTCCACCATATTTTCTTATTACAGATTCCGGAAGAAGCTCCTCCTGATGCATTTATTGGGTAGGTAGTTCTGTTATGAACTTGGTGTAAAGCATAGATTGTTGTGGTTGGGTGCACTTTTGTGCGGTTAGATTCATTCAGTGGTTGACGTGTAGGCTCCACTGATTTAAAAGGCGAGCTCTAGTTTTCTGAATCATTCTTCTATATTTGTTAAATATTGTAATAAATATATTCATAGGTTTACGTCAAAAGCATAGGTTTGAGATCAGGGGATCATTTGCACGGTATCAAGGGGGTGGGTTTCTTTCCACTGGTTTTTCTCTCTTATTATTTCCGTTCAAATTAAATCTATATTTTTAAAATTATTAAATCTAGACAATCAATGTCTACAGTGATTCCTCCTCTGTAGAGGAGGAAAGCCAACTCCGGCATCTAGACTTGTTGAATAAGGGGTCAATAGTTCAATTCTTAGTCAATACTTCCTCTAGTCCTATGTATTATGCATCTTTTAGAAGTATAATCTAATTTATTTTATAAATCATTGGTTGATGCAATTGTTTTGTTTTAAGTTGAAATTTTGAACTACTATTGACAATTAAGAGAGAGGGAGAGTGAGAGAATAATATTATATGGTTTGTTTACTTTTTGTTTCTGTTAATTTAAGATTATGTTTGAAATTTTATTTAATTTTTTTTTATACTTTTGTTTTATTGATATTAATAAAATTGATAGAAATGGCTTATAAATAGAATTGGAGGGAAACATCGAAGTGGTTATGCCTTGAATATTACTATTTTTGATTTTATTTATAAAACTTTGATATCCGTTGTTAATATAAGATCTATTACAAAATTTTAGAGAACATGGATGATTCGTTTTTCAAAAGTGCCTTTATCTTACAAAATGTTGGAAATTGTCATGACCTTATATTGCAAGCATTGTTGGAGGGTAGCATATTTTTTAGAAATTTGTAAAGAAAAAATATTTAACAAATTCTAACTAATTTCTTAATATCTAGAATTAGTTAACAAGGACCTAATAAAAAGTCAGTAGGGAGTAGCTCTTTTAACTGTATATAAATTTGAGATCTTCCAATGAACGGTGACATTCACGTGATATACTTTTTCCTGTTTCGTTTTGTTCCCATGTGAGCTGAGCAGTCACGCAGTACTATAGATGTATAGTACCCATCCGACCTTTTCTTTTTAATTTTTTTTTAACTTTTTTAGATATACAGTACCCATCTGAATTTTATATATATATATATATATATATATTTTGTTTATTTTTTAAATGTCACATAGTAAAAATAAAAAGGATAAAGAATTATGTTGGCTTTGTAACGAAAGAGGTACATGTAGGACTTATAAAAATTAAATTGTTAATATAAAACTTATAATTAAAAATGAGTGAAATATTTTGACATTTTCTTTATTTTATTTTAATTATTGGTATCTCTCTTTTATTTTAAAATTTTTTAAAACATTTTTTCCTAATATAGATAATTATAAAATACAAGCTTTTTTTTTATTTTTAACTATCTAATCATTTTTCACTGAAATGTCCCTATTTAAATATAAATATTGTCTAAAAATAATTTAAATTACCAAAAAGTTAATTTTGTAACTTTTTAAAAATTAAATATATAAATTGGCAAAAAAAATATTCAAAAAACTGTTTATGGACCCAATGGAAAGAAAAATAAAATAAAATAATTTTTAATAATTTAGGGTATTTAAACTAACCTAGGACTGTGTAAAAGTCTCGTAGTCTCGTTCGGTCCGGTCCGATCCATGAAAATCTGGTCCTGTCCAGTCTTGTAAAATGTTGGTCCTATAAGATCAAAAAGATCAAAAAGACAGGACTGATTTTTCGGGTAAGATCAGATTAGAGACCAAACATCTGGACTAAGTGGTCTGGTTTGGTCCTATATAATTATTTTAATATAATTAAAATTAATTTATAAATTATTAATTAATAAGCCTTAGAAAAAAAAATCTTAATCCTCCCTTGTACTTTACACTCTGATCTAAAAAAAAACCTCAACACTGTTACTCAACAGCACTTAGCGTCTCAGCCACTCACTCGACTTTGCTGTCATTCTCAATTTCTTCAGTGCACCAAAGCCCTAGCCCCTGCCTTGCACTTTGCACTCTGATCATGATCTGTTCGAACTTTGAAGGAACATGTCTGTGGGCTGATTTTTATTACTTCTGTTCTTGCTGATTTTTTTCCTTTGGTCTATTTTCGGTCTTTCCTCTGATTTTTTATTGAAGTTAGTATTTAAATCATTTGGAGTTTGGACTGTAACTAAAATATTATTTTCTTGGTTTTAGAAATTATTATAGATTTATTATGATTATAAGTGTTTTTATTATCTTAATTAAGTTTGTTAAGTTAAAATAGATTATTGGTCATCATAGAGAAAAAAAGAAAAAAAAAAGGCCAAGTGAGTATTGGACTAACAGGACCAGTCTCCCAGTCTTATGGACCAAGTTCAGTCTTGTTAATCTCCAAGTTTTCACAGGACTAGACCGGACTACGGGTTACCTAAGCCAGTCCTTTTCATAAAAAGGATCAGACTCCAGGTTAGGCTAAAGTCCAGTCCCGTTCAGTCTTTTGTGCAACCCTAAACTAACCTAAATAAATTTGAAAGTTAGAGGTATTAAGAGTCTGGTTTGATTATAAATTTTTTTATGTTTATATATTTTTAAAGTCGGTATGAATTGAGGACCTAATGAGAATGGAGAGAATATAAGATTTTAATTGCAATAGTGTGATTTAAAAAAGTGGTATGTGGACTTACAGTTTAAAAATGAGAGTGGGAGCTTACTGTAAAAATAATGTGTTAGATATGTAAAGAAATTACTAATGATGAAAAAGTAGGTTAATAAATAAAATAAAATTAGTAATTATTTTTAATTTTTTTAAAATTAGTTAATGGATAATTTTGTAAAAAAATAAATATAGTTGTAGGACTTGATAAAAAAGTGAATGTGTGATCTACCATTAAAAAATGTGGGTGTGGGATCAACATATATACAAGTTAAAAATTTAGACAATGTTTAAAAAATATTAAGATTTTTATATTTTAAAAGATCACGTAGAATTTATGATAAAAATTGACGGTGAATATAAAATTTTTAATAAAAATAATGTGTTAGATATGTGAAAAGATTACCAATGGTTAAAAAGTGATTGTGAGACCTGTAATTTACATACTATTCATAATAAAAATTAGATGTGAACGCAAGATTCTTACTAAAAATAATAAGTGTTAGATATAAAATAAAATTTTAAAAAACATTAACACAAATTATATTAATTAATTTATCTCTTATTTCATTAATTTTTTTTGTATATATGTGTTTGAAATATTACTCATTTCATTAAAAAATATAAAATATTTTTAAAGTTTTTTTCTTTGGGTTTGGATATTAGAAAGTATAAGATATTTTTAGTATTTAAAGACATAATTATTACCTCTTTTTTTTTAAAAAAAGTTTTCCTAATGAATAAATCATTTTATATTTATTTTAGAGTTAAACACTAATTAAATAGTAAATATAGAAAGCTAATGATAGTTTAAAAATAAGTAACTACTTTATTAAGAGATGAGATTTAGTTAAAAAGTCCTTACATCTTTAAAAAAATGGAGTACGTATTTAATTTTTTTAAAAAATACTAAATAATCACTTTGTATGACTAATAAATATAAAATATAAATAATAATTTAAAAGAATATATCATGAATGGTTCTTTAGTCCAACATATATGTAATTATCAGCTAATGATTGGATAGATGAAAGTGAAAATTTAAATGGAGAATTGCTTTGCAAGACTCAAAATAGGCAAAAATTGCCCTTCATGCCTAATGAATTCTGATATTGCACTGCAAGCCCAAGGACTATTGGTGCAATTTTTTTTGGAAGTGAAAGTACAATTTTGCCTTTATGTAATTTGAAAACTCAAATTATACACAATACAATGTCCATTAATGCACAATATAATGTCCATCAATGCACAATAAAATGTCTATGTGTGTTTTATTAATTAGTATGTTTAATAAAATGTACAAATAACACACAAAATATACAACACAATGTCCATGGATAGACAACATAATGTTCATGCATTCTCAACTAAATATATATGTGTGGACACATATGGACATTGTCTTAAGAATTATAGATATCGTGTTATGTATTTATGAATATAGTATTATACATGCAAATAAATATAATTAATATTGTGTTGTGCATCCATAAACATCGTGTTATGCATCTATAAATATTGTATTATGTCTAATCTGAGTTTTCAAATCACATAAGGGCAAAATTGGACTTTCTCCCAAGAAAAGTTGGAACAAGTGTTCTTAGGCCTACAGTACAATATCAAAATGTATTAAGCCCAAGGTGATATTTTGTGTTGTTTTAGGGCCTACAATGCGATTCTTTCAAATTTAAAAGTAAAAGACATATTTGTATCTTATAACTCTTAACTATTAATTTTAAGAGGGATTCAAATAGATTCAAAAAAATATTTATAATTAAAATAAAATAAAAGGGAAAGTAATATATTTTATTTTAAGGATACTAAAATAATTTTTAATATTTTTATTCTTAAAAATTAAAACATTCTCGCACATCGCACGGGGTATATTTGCATGGGTTGACATGGTTTAGATAAAAATAATTTATATGGGAAAGACATGGACTAGGTAAAAATAATTTATTGTATATTTCTATGGAGATGTTATGGTATCCTTCTATTCAAATTTTAGTTTCATTGTTATCGACTATAAGAATAACTTAGGAAACTAAAAAAAAAAAAAAGAAGAAGAAAAGTCATTCATTTTAATTTAAACGGGATAACACATTCTAAAATAGAATAAGTTTTTATTTATAATCTTAATATATCTTAACATAACAAATTTTAAAATAAAACATTCTTTATATTTTAATTTGCACAAATTAATAAATTATCAAGTAAAATATATTGGCATACATTTTTTTGTTAGAATTATATATACAACTTTTTATATTTTTAAAACCTATACTTTAATATCATTTTTAACACTATTAAGAATATTATGTTAAATATTTTAAAATATTTAATTTATTATTTTTATTTATAAGAAAAACTTTTAAATTATTAATTTATTCATATAATCTATTTGTTTATCCTTTTGCTTCCTAATTTTACTTTAAGAACACTAAAATAATTTTTTGATATCAATATTTATTTTGCAAACATAGTTGCAAGAGTCAATAAAAAAGTGCATGATCCACAATGAAGATATATAAAGAATTTCATATTTATTTTTAAAAATTATTTAAAAAATTATAATTTTAAAAATATTTTAAAAGTTTTAAATCA